CACAACCAAGATCCCCATCTAGTGAGCTTATACCATATTTGGGGGCTATTTCGGGACCCTACTCAATATTATAACACTATTAGAGGCCCGGTACATGAATTCGTGCACCAGGAAACAGTGGCTTTAAGTGACACATTAGACCAGCTGGACTTGGGTGATATTTTTAGGACATTTTACCCCAAGCAGCAGAATATACATTCTGTTCAAGTGCACATTTTCCAAAATAGATCACATGTTAGGCAACAAAACAAGTCTCAATCAATTTGAGAAGATTAAAATCATATCAACCATCTTCTCCAATTACAATGGTATGAAACTGAAATCAATTACAAGAAGAAAACTGAAAAACACAAACATGTAGAGGCTAAATAACATGATACTGAACAATGAATGGGTTAACAATGAGATCAAAGAAGAAATCAAAAGAGACCTTGAGACAAGTGGAAATGAAAACAAAACAACCTAAAATCTATTGGACATAGCCAACGCAGTTCTAACGGAAACATACAGCAATACAAGCCTATGTCAAGAAACAAGAAAAATCTCAATAAAACAATCTAACATGACACCTAAAGGAACCAGAAAAACAAGAAAAAAGCCCAAAGTAAGTAGAAGAATGGAAATAATAAAGATCAGAGTGAAAATAAAGTCTAAAATAAAATAGAAAATATCAATAATACCAAGAGTTGGTTCTTTGAAAAGATAAATAAAATTGATAAACCTTTGCCAGACTCATCAAGAAAAATAGAGGGCCCAAATAAGTAAAATCAGAATGAACGCGAAGTGACAATCAACACCACAGAAAACCAAAGCACTATAAGGAAATGCTATGAACAATTTTATGTTAACAAATTGGACAACCTGGAAGAGATTGTAAATTCCTAGACACATACAATCTTCCAAGGCTGAATCAGGAAGAAACAGAAAATCTTAAAAGACTGATAACTACAAAATGAAATTAGTAACCAAAAAGTTCCAACAAACAAAAGCCCTGGACCAGATGTCTTCACAGGCAAATTTTACTAAATATTCAAAGAAGAATTAATACCTAACCTTCATAATCTATTCCAAAAAACTTGAAGAGCAGGGAAGGCATCTAAACTCATTTTATGAGGACACCATTACTCTCATACCAAAACCAGACAAAAAACACTAAAAAAAAAAAAGAAGAAGAAGAAAGAAAGAAAAAAAAAGAAAAGAAAATTATAGGCCAATATCTCTGATGAACGTAGATACAAAAATTCTCAACAAAATATTAGCAAACAGAATTCAGCAATACATTAAAAAGATCATACAACATGATCAAGTGGGATTTAATCCATCAGGCTGTTTTAATATCTGCAAATCAATTAATATGATACACCACATAAACAAAAATGAAATATAAAAATCACATGATCATATCAATACATGCAAAAAAATCATTTGAGAAAATCCAACATCCATTTGTGATAAAAAAAAAAATCTCAGCAAAATGGGTATAGTGGGAACATATGTCAATGTAATAAAGGCCATATATGACAAACCCACAGCTAACATCATATTCAATGGTGAAGAGCTAAAAGCTTTTTATTTTCTTTGTAAAATTTTTAAATATCTGAAAAAATTAAAAAATATATTTTTATTGATTTCAGAGTGCAAGGGAGAGGGAAAGAGAGATAGAAACATCAATGATGAGAATCATTGATCAGCTGCCTCCTGCACACCCCACACTGGAGATCAAGGCCGCAACCCAGGCGTGTGCCTTGGCTGGAATTGAACCCAGGACCCTTCAGTCCTCAGGCCGACACTCTATCCACTGAGCCAAACTGACTAGGGCTAAAAGCTTTTTCTTTAAGATCATGAACAAGAGAAGGATGTCCACTTTCACCACTTTCATGCAACACAATCTTGGAAGTCCTAGCCACAGCAATCACACAAGAAAATGAAATAGAAGGTGTCCAAATTGGAAAGGAAGAAGTAAAACTATCATTATTTGCAAGTGGCTTAATACTATATATATAGAAAACTCTAAGGAATATACTAAAAAACTATTAGAACTAATAAATGAATTCAGTGAAGTTGCAAGATACAAAAAAAGAAAAAAAAGAAAAAAGAAATGCAGGAATGTGTTGCATTTTTATACAGCAAGTAGAGGCCCAGTGCATGAAATTCATGCACGGGTAGGGTCCCTAGGCCTGGCCAGCGATCAGGGCCCATCAGGTTCCTCGTCTCCCTGCCTTCCTGCCTCCTCCTTTCCTCACCGCTTGCTGGCTGCCACTGTGTGGGTCCCTGTCTCCTGCTTTCTCTTGCTCCCTCAGTGCCCCGACACTGGTTGCCAGCCATGGTCTGTGCTGCCCCCTGGTGGTCAGTGTATGTCATAGCGAGTGATTGAACTTGTGGTCTCCTGGTCAAATTCCTGAGGGGACACTTTGCATATCAGTCTTTTATAAATAGATAGATAGATAACAAACTATCAGAAAGAGAAATTAAGAAGAGAATTCCATTTACAATTGCATAAAAATAAAAATGAAATACCTAGGAATAAATTTAACCAAGGATGTAAAAGACCTGCACTCAGAAAACTATGTAAGACATTGAAGAAATGCGCTGAAGAAGATACAAAGAAATGGAAGGGTATAGGCCGCTCATGAATAGGAAGAATTAACATCATTAAAATGCCCATACTACCCAAAGCATTCTACAGATTCAATGCAATCCCTATCAAAATACCGATGACATTCTTCACAAAATTAGAAAAAGGACGCCTAAAATTTAAATGGAATCACAAACGATCCTGAGGAGCCAAAGCAATCCTGAAAGAAAAGCAAAGTTGAGGTATTAAGTTACCTGATATCAAACTATACTACAAAGCTACAGTAATCAAAACAGCATGCTATGGCATAAAAAGACAAACAGATCAATGCAACATAATAGAGAGCCCAGAAATAAACCCACACCTCAGTTAATCTAAGACATTAGAGTCAAGAATATACAATGCAGTGAAGACAGTCTCTTCGATAAATGGTGTTGGGAAAACTGGAGAGATGCATGCAAAAGAATGAAGCTGGATTGCTTTCTATTAACATATCCAACAATAAACTAAAAATAGATTAAAGACTTAAATATAAGACCTGAAACCATAAACCACCTAGAAGAAAACATAGGCAGTAAACACTTTGACATTGCTCTTAATGATTTTGTGTGTGTGTGTGTGGGGGCGGGGGGGCGTTATCTCCTCGGGGAAGGGAAACAAGAAAAAAAAAAGGAAATGGGACTGTCAAAGAAAAACGTTTTTGCACAGCAAAGGAAACAATCAACAAAATGAAAAGGCAACCCACTGAACAGGAGAACATATTTGCCAATGATACATCAACACCAAAAAACCCAAACAAACCAATTTAAAAATGTGCAATGGACCTGATTAGACACTTATCCAAATAGGACATACATATGGCTATTAGACATATGAACAGATGCTCAACATCATGAACCATTTGGGAAAGCAAATTAAATTAAATTAAAACCACAATGATATATCTCCTCACCCCTGTCAGAATGGCTATCATCATTAAATCAAAAGACAAATGTTGGCAATGATGTAGAAAAGGGAATCCTTGTGCACTGTTGGTGAGATTGTAAATGGTGCAGCCACTGTAGAAAACACTAGTGAGGGTCCTAAAAAAAATTTAAAATAGAACTACTTTATGACCAAAAAATCCACTTCTGGATATTTATCTAAAGGAATCCAAAACACTAATTTGAAAAGATATATGCAGCCCTATGTTCATTGCACCATTATTACAAGAACCAAGAGATGGAAGCAGCCTAAGTGTCCATCCATAGATTGATAAAGAATGAATAAAGAAGATGTGGTACATATATAATGGAATGTTACTCAATCATAAAAAAGGAATGAAATCTTGCCACTTGCAACAACACGGATAGGCCGAGAGGGTATTATTCTAAGTGAAATAAGACAAACAACATAGGATTTTATTAATATGGGGAATTTACAAAACGAATGAACAAGCAAAATGGAAATAAAATCACATAGAGAACAAATCATTGGTTGCCAGATGGAAGGGGGTTCAGGGAAAAGGTGAAGAAATTAAGTACAAATTGCCAGTTATAGCCCTATGTGGTCTGGCTCAGTGGATAGAGAATCCGCCTTTGGATTCAGACTCCCAGGTTCGATACCCAGTCAGGGCACATGCCTGGGTCGTGGGTGATCCCCAGTAGTGGGTGTGCAGGAGACAGCCAATCAATGATTCTCATCATTGATGTTTTTGTCTCTCTCTCCCTCTCCTTCCTCTCTGAAATCTATAAAAATATATATTTTAAAAATTGCCAGTTATAAAAACAGTCAAGAGGAAGTAAAGTAGAGCATATAGGAAAGTCAATAAGATTATAATAGGTAAGTATGGTGTCAGATGGGTACTAGATTTAATTGTGTGATCACTAGGTAAGTTACATAAATGTCCAATCAGTATTGTTGTACTCCTGAAACTAATATCATATTGCATGACAACTGAAATAGGAAAAAAAAGACCTCCAAGTTCCTGTACAACCCAGTTGAGGAGAGTACTGTTCATTCAGAGGTAGAAAGAACACGTTCACATATTAAGGCCTGGCAAGAGCGAGGATCAGAATACTGGTTTCTCAATTCTCTGCTAGCCTTTTTGTGCGCAGTGTTTGGTAAATATGAGCCCATTTCTTCAAGCCAATCATCTGTGGAGGTTAGAACATCTGCGCCAATAGGCGGAGGATCAAACATCCTGCACCGGGCAGGACTGCAAGGGAGATCGCAGGTTGGCATTAAGCCCAAAGGCCATGTGTGGTCAGAAAGGCTGGCCCAGGGTCCATCACCTGCAGCTTTCCTATGGCCAGGAAACAGTCCCGCCCTGAGCCAGCCGCGCAAGCGCAGGGGTGCAAAAAAGACCACGCCCACGTCCCCAAGTGAGCACGCGCAGTGGCGCGGGGCGTGGCAGCGCTGCACGCTCCTCTGGGGACCTGCCGGAGCCGCGCTTTTAAGCTCCGCGACCTTATCTCTGATACCTCAGCCGCCTGTCCTAAAGCGAAGCTGTCTTGTCGGGGAAGAGAGTGGTCACGGTGTCGCGTGGTAACAAAGCTTAGGACAGGAGAACCTCCATGAGAAAGGACGTCCTCCGGTGTAAGTGCTAACCAGTGGCTGTTTGCGGAGGGGCGGGGGGCGTCGGGAGCGGGAAAAACCTTCGCGGCATGGAGGGGCGGAGCTAACGTGTGATTGATAGGCGAGAAACCTGTGCAAGGGCGAATGGGAGGTGAGTGAGGGCGGGATCTGCAGTTGAACTGGAGCGGTGCTTTGGAGTAATAATAACTAACACGCACCAGGGACTTCAGTAACCCATCTGTGCTAACCGCTTTTTATAAGTTACTTATTTAGTGGTCACTGCAGCCTATGGAAATGCAGTTTTATCTGTCTCTCCTTTACGCGCGGGGAAACTGAGGGTTAGGGCTATTAACTTAGGCAAGAATACAGCTGGGGTCCCAAATTTAGAAGCCTGACCTCAGAGCCCATACTGTTAATGGCTCTGCCCTTCAGAAAAGCAAGGTAGAGTGGGGTCCAGTCAAAAGGGTTCGGTTGAATGGAATTGACCAGATTGTTGGAGGATGTGCAATGAAAAGTGGAAAATACACCAAGTAGCAGGTTTTTCCTACAGGATGTGAGAGCTCTGAGGATGGAGGTGGGAGCCTGGGCCATGTCCCCTGCTGTGGGAGCATTGCAGCCCCGCTGGTGCTGTGCCTGGATTAACTGTAGGTGCAGAAAAGGTTTTCTTTTGGGGCTGTGTTGTCTCCCAGGTGTGTGAAGTTAAAGCATTTTAGGGGCTTAAAATGGGGATTGTGCTTTTAAATTGTTTCTGTCTTCTCTGGCTGCCATAACAAAACGCCATACATTGGGTGGCTTAAACAATAGAGTATTTTGTTTGTTTGTTTTTGTTGTATTTTAATTCTCACCCGAGGATATTTTCCCCATTGATTTCTAGAGAGAGTGGAAAGGAAGTAGGAGAGGGGGGGAGAGAGAAACATCGTGGGAGAGAAACATAGATTGGTTGCCTCCCGCCCCTACCAGGTCTGGGGAACTTGCACCCAAGGTACCCTTGACCAGGACCCTTGGATCTGCAAGCTGATGCTCTAACCAGGGCCAGAGTTCTTTTCTTTTTTCTTTTCTTTTTCCTTACAGTTCTAGAAATTGGGAAGTCGAAGATTGAGGTTCCAGCCTAGTCTGTTCCCTGTCCAGGACCCTTTTCCTGTCTTGCAGAAGGTCGGTCCCTTTCTTACTAGTACTTGTCCTCACATGGCTGGTAAGGAGAGAGCTCTCTCTTACTCCTAGAAGGCCACCAATCTTAATAAGGATTAGGACCCGCTGTTATACCTTAATTTAATCTTAATTACCCTTTTCATTTTATGTTAATTGCCTCCTAAAAGCCCTCCCTCCAAATAAAATAGAGTCTCATGTTGGGGGTTAGGGCTTTAACACATGAATTTGAGGGAGGGTGGGACACAGTTCAGTCTGTAGCAATAGTTTATACCCAAGTAAATAACAAGTGATACTTGAAGACTGAAGAAAATGAACACTTTCAAAACTTACACTTTCACATAACGTCTTATTACCTCATTTAATGAGCATGAGGTTTGTGCCTTAGCACTGGTGGGGAATTCTAGGGAGAACTTGTGTGGAAGGTCATGGTAGTCCTTCAGGCAGCCAATCTGAAGAGGTCAGAAAAAGCTACACCAAGCATTCTTAAAGCACACATAGTGTATCTACTATTTGTGGATTTGTAGATCCTTCTTTAACTTCTGACTTAGCTCGTGCTGTTTCTGGAATAATGAGATCCATAATTACCATCCATGGGGAGTGAAATCATAATTACTTTTTCTTTTCTTTTAATCCTCCCCCGAGGATATTTTTCCATTGATTTTTAGAGAAAGTGGAAGAGAGAGGGAAAGACAGAGAAATATCGATGTCAGAGAAACATATCGATGGGTTGCCTCCTGCACATGCCCCAACCAGGGCCTGGGCCGGGGAAGAGCCTGCAACTGAGGTATGTGTCCTTGACTGGAATCAAACCTGGGACCCTTTGGTCCACACGCTGGCGCTCTATCCACTGAGCCAAACCAGCTAGGGCAATAATTACCTTTTTTTTGTATTGTTTCCTGTTGTCATTCCTAAGTTTGGTAAACAAGTCTATTTTCACCTTACCCTGGTGAGAGAAGAATGAGGAAATACAAAGCTTAGGAGCTTGAAGGTCTGGCAGATGTGCATTCAAATCTTGGATTCGGGCAATTGCTATGTGACTATCTGCAAAACAAATTTTTTATTGATTTCAGAGAGGAAGGGAAAGGGAGAGAAAATCATTGATCGCTGCCTTCTGCACACCTCCTACTGTGGATGGAACCTGCAACCCAGACATGTGCCCTGATCGTGATTTGAATCGTGACTCCTAGTGTCATAGATCAATACCCAACCACTGAGCCACACCAAGTGGGCAAGTCATTTAATCTTTCTGTCAGTTTCTTCATCTATAAAATAGAGCTAGTAATAATACTGACCACATGGTTGTTGTGAGGTTATATGAAAACAGTTTGTAACGACTAAAGAACTGGCCTTGCACTAGATATTTCAGTTATGGGACATCCTCCACTGACACCTCTGAAGAGGTTTCTATAACAGAAACCTCCACCTACAGCCCCCATGTGAAGCTTGCTGTATATTCATCAAATTTTTATTGAATCCCCGCTACTTGTCACAGCACCTGGCATGCTGAGTGCTAGGGGCAGGGAAGAACAAGACAGACAAAGTTCTTTCTTTTATGCAGCTTATACTGTAGTGGGGAGGACTAAATGAATTGAGTTGAGTGCTAAGAACTATGAAGAAACTAAATGCAGGGTAATGACAGCAAAGAGTGACTTTCTGTAGAGCGGCCTGCGTGTGTGCATGCACACGTATTTGGAGGGAGGGTGATTGACCACTGTAGGGGGTGTCTGTAAAATAAGGTTATGTACATTAACCTGTGCCATGTCAGAAAAAGTGTAATTGTACTTGTAATTCTTTGCCTGTGTGTCATGATTCTATTTACAGGTCTCCCATCAGGATAAAGCAGCATTTGTCATGCACATACCGCCCTGTGCAGAAGTGAGGGAAGACTGCTGCAGAAGTGAATACAGGCAACATCTTTGATCCCAGGGCACAGGTCTTTGAGAGGAAATCTCCAAGCCTCTCGAGGAGGCATTAGAAGGCTATCCAGGCAGCAAAAGTACCTCAGGTGAAATGCAGGGAGTTTCTGTATAAGGGCTTTTGCATTCTGCATTCTTCTAGAGCCCTTTGTGATAAATGTCGCTGGGTGGATTGCATGATTTGGTGTGGCTTCATGGGGATATGCACATGATGGAGAGAACATGATCTCTTCTTGCCAAATAATGTAGAGCCTAAGGAGAAAATCCGTAATCAGTATTGAGACTGCTCTTAAGAACTGTTCTAGATTTCAAGCCGGTTCTTCCTGGCTCATCAGCGAACTACCAGATATTTTTCTCCCCTTAGGATCATGGCTGATAAATACCAGGAGATCGGTGGCATCCATTTTCCTTTTCCCTTCACACCCTATTCCATCCAGATAGACTTCATGACAGTGCTGTACCAGGTGTTGGAGGATGGCAAGATTGGGATATTTGAGAGTCCAATTGGCACTGTAAGTATGAACAGTTGCCCCAAGAGGGCTCTTGGGAGACCTTGATTACAACTAGTCAGAGGTTTATTTGCCTCTGCAGAGATTTTCATGGTTTGGAGTTGGGCAAAGTAGTTTTCTCAGTTTACCTTTCTGAGTAATGCTCACTTCCCTCTATTAAATTGTTAAACACAACCCCGGGTTCTAAGGAAAATTAGGCTACAGGCAAAGGAGAATTTGAATGGCAGTGGTTCTCCTTTAGGGAGCAACATAGAAATTTATTGCCCTGCCAGGTTGGGCTCAGTTGGTTGAGCATTGTCCCATGTACCAGGAGGTTACTGGTTTGATTCCCGGTCAGGGCACGTGCCTGGTTTGTGGGTTGAACCCCAGTAGGGGCATGCAGAAGATAGCTGATCAATGTTTCTTTCTCACAATGTTTCTCTCTCTCCCTCTCCATTCCTCTCTCTGAAATAAATGAAAACATTTTTTTAAAAAAAGTCAAATTTATCAAATTTGGCGCGATGGGCTGGTGCTTTTAATTCTTTTGTCTTTCTTAAAAAATGTACTTTTCTCATAGCACATTTTGAAATTATAACCTATGTGCTCTTGTTTCTTGGTTTGTGGATTTTAGTGATTGGTACCTTCCTCTTGTGATGGATAAGATGTAGCTTTCTTACCATCCCTTTTCCCTGCCACTCCTGATGTAATTAGCTGTTTTTAGTCTCTGCTAAGGCATTATACTATGATTGTTTTTTCATGGAATAATGTTATTTTTCTAGAGTTAATAATTGCTTTTTAAAAGCTTGTTCAGTTTTTAATATGCTTATACTAATTCCACACACATCATCCAGTAGTCTCTCAATATGATACAGATTTTCACATTGTCCAAAACTACAGTTGGTCCTTGTCTGTGGGTCCTGCACCCATGGGTTCAACCAACTCCAGATCAAAAATATTGGGGGGAAAGAGCTACTTTGTTGCTGACATGTACTATGTAGTTAGACCAATGACAGTTGCTGAACATGTAGAGACTTTTTTCTTTTTCTTTTTTCTTTTTTTATTGCTTAAAGTATTACAAAGGGTATTACATATGTGTCCTTTTTTTCCCCCCCGCCCTTGACACTCCCCTGGCCTCCCTTACCCCCCAGTGTCTTATGTCCATTGGTTATGCTTATATGCATGCATACAAGTCCTTCGGTTGATCTCTTACCACCCTACCTCCTGCCCCCCAACCCTCCCTGGCCTTCCCGCTGCAGTTTGACAGTCAGTTTGAGGCAGCTCTGCCTCTGTATCTATTATTGTTCAAAAGTTTGTAATGGAGACTTTTTTCTTATTATTATTCCCGAAACAATATAGTATAGCAATTATTTATATAACATTTACATTATATTAATCATAAGTAATCTAGACATGATTTAAAGTATATGGTAGGATGTGCATAGGTTACCTGCAAATACTAAGTCATTTATCTACACTAATAAAAGAGAAAGATGCTAATTGACCGTACCTTCACTATACCCACCAGCCAGAGTTACTATGCAGATTAACCCAACAAAGATGGCAGTTAAATTTGCATACCCAGGTGGGGCGGGCAGTGTCAGACGCTGCCAGTCGGTCCGGGCCCCAGAATGGGACCCGGGGAGACGGGTCGGGCAGCGCCAGAAGCCACCCGCGGGGTTCGGGCCCCAGATCGAGGATGGGGGAGGTGGGCAGGCAGCGCCAGACGCCGCCCGGGGGGTACGGGGCCCCTGATTGGGGACGTGGGGGAGGCGGGGCGGGCAGCACCAGACACCACCCCTGTGGTCCGGGCCCCAGATTGGGACCTGGGGAGATGGGTGGGAAGCGCCAAAAGCCACCCACGGGTCCAGGTCCCAGACCGGGGAAAGGGGAGGTTGGGCGGGCAGCGCCAGATGCCAACCGGGGAGGCAGGGTGGGTAGCGCCATACACCGCCTGCGGGGTTCGGGCTCCAGATCGGGGATGGGCGAGACGGGGCAGGCAGCGCCAGACGCCACCACGGGGTCCAGTAGAGCGAGAAAACTGGTGGCTTGGAGGGCATGGCTCCCTCTGTCATCCAGCTTCCTCATCACAGCTGTGAAAACTGAGAGCAGGGAGGAGGAAGTCCCACCCCCACAGAATTAGCCAGAATTAGTCATTGGTCACACAGCTCTCAGCGGCCTGACATCCAGGACTCTCATTCACCTGCGTCTCAGACCGTGACAGTAGAGAGGTGGGACTATGTCCAAAGAAGAACTGTTGATACAAGGTAGCTCTGCAGCCGAAAGATGCCTGCGTTATCGATAGAAAATGTCTGAAGAGCAACGTGCGTCTGATCTTGAAAGAAGGCGGTGCCTGCGACAGAATATATCTGAAGACCAGCTACTGGAAAAACGTCACTGTGAAGCTGAAAAACACCGACGTCATCGACAGAAAATGTCTAAAGACCCACGTGCCTTTCAGGTTGAAAGAAGGCGGTGGCGATGACAGTCTAGAGAACAGTCATCAACAAATACTACCGATACTGGTAGGAACTGCCTTCTCAGCAAACATGGAGTACATGAGGATGCAATACTTGAACACAGTTGTGGTGGAATGACTGTTCGATGTGAATTTTGCCTATCCCTAAATTTCTCTGTTGAAAAACCATCTGATGGGAAATTTACTCGATGTTGTAGCAAAGGGAAAGTCTGTCCAAATGATATACATTTTCCAGATTACCCGGCATATTTAAAAAGATTAATGACAAACGATTCTGACCATAAAAATTTCATGAAAAATATTCGATCCATAAATAGTTCTTTTGCGTTTGCTTCCATGGGTGCAAATATTGCATCGCTATCAGGGTATGGGCCATACTATTTTAGAATACATGGACAAGTTTATCACCGTACTGGAACTTTACATCCTTTGGATGGTGTTTCTCGGAAGTTTGCTCAACTCTATATTTTGGATACAGCCGAAGCTACAAGTAAAAGATTAGCAATGCCAGAAAATCAGGGCTGCTTAGAAAGACTCATGATCAACATCAACAACCTCATGCATGAAATAAATGAATTAACAAAATGTTACAAGATGCTACATGAGGTAGAATAGGAAGCCCAATCTGAAGCAGCAGCAAAAGGTATTGCTCCCACAGCAGTAACAATGGCAATTAAATACGATCGTAACAGTGACCTAGGTAGATATAATTCTCGTGTAACCGAGGTTGCTGTCATATTCAGAAACAAAGATGGAGAACCTCCTTTTGAAAGGGACTTGCTCATTCATTGTAAACCAGATCCCAATAATCCAAGTGCCACTAAAATGAAACAAATCAGTATCCTGTTTCCTACATTAGATGCAATGACATATTCTATTCTTTTTCCTCATGGTGAAAAAGGCTGGGGAACAGATATTGCATTAATACTTAGAGACAACAGTGTAGTCGACAATAATACTAGGCGAAATGTAAGGACACGAGTCAAACAAAGGCAGTATTATGATTTCATCTCTCTGTGAGGGACACATTCAATCCTATTTTAAACGCAGGAAAATTAACTCAACAGTTTATTGTGGATTCGTATTCAAAAATGGAGGCCAATCGGATAAATTTCATCAAAGCAAACCAATCTAAGTTGAGAGTTGAAAAATATAGTGGTTTGATGGATTATCTCAAATCTAGATCTGAAAATGACAATGTGCCGATTGGTAAAATGATAATACTTCCATCATCTTTTGAGGGTAGTCCCAGAAATATGCAGCAGCGATATCAGGATGCTATGGCAATTGTAACGAAGTATGGCAAGCCCAATTTATTTATAACCATGACATGCACCCCCAAATGGGCAGATATCACAAACAGTTTACAATGCTGGCAAAAAGTTGAAAACGGACCTAACTTAGTAGCCAGAGTTTTTAATATTAAGCTGAGCGCTCTTTTAAATGATATATGTAAATTCCATTTATTTGGCAAAGTAATAGCTAAGATTCATGTCATTGAATTTCAGAAATGTGGACTGCCTCACGCTCACATATTATTGATATTAGATAGTGAGTCCAAATTACATTCAGAAGATGACATTGACCGTATCGTTAAGGCAGAAATTCCAGATGAGGACCAGTGTCCTCGACTTTTTCAAATTGTAAAATCAAATATGGTACATGGACCACGTGGAATACAAAATCCAAATAGTCCATGTATGGAAAATGTTCAAAGGATATCCAAAAGAATTTCAAAATGTGACCATTGGAAATATTGATGGATATCCCAAATACAAACAAAGATCTGGTAGTACCATTTCTATTGGAAATAAAATTGTCGATAATACTTGGATTGTCTCTTATAACCTGTATTTGTGCCTCCAATATAACTGTCATATAAATGTTGAAGTGTGTGCATCAATTAGAAGTGTCAAATATCTATTTAAATACATCTATAAAGGGCATGCTTGTGCAAATATTCAAATTTCTGAGAAAAATATTATCAATCATGACGAAGTACAGCACTTCATTGATTCCAGGTATGTGAGTGCTCCTGAGGCTGTTTGTAGCCTTTTTGGAATGCAAATGCATGACCAGTTTCATGCAATCACAAGATTAGCTATTCATTTGCCAAATGATCAGAATTTGTATTTTCATGCCGATGATTTTGCTGAAGTTTTGGATAGGGCTAAAAGGCAAAAGTCGACTTTGATGGCTTGGTTCTTATTGAATAGAGAAGACTCTGAAGCACATAATTATGATTTTGGGAGATTCCACAGCATTATGTGTTTAATAATTCTTTGTGGACAAAACACCGAAATGGTGGGAATAAAGTATTAGGTAGACTGTTCACTGTGAGCTTTAGAGAACCAGAAGGATAATACCTTAGACTTTTGCTTCTGCATATAAAAGTTGCGATAAGTTTTGAGGATCTGCGAACTGTAGGAGGTTTAACTTATGATACATTTCATGAAGCTGCTAAACACCGAGGATTATTACTTGACAACAGTATCTGGAAAGATACGACTGACTATGCAATCATCCTTAATATGCCCAAACAACTACG